GCTCCAGCAATCCTTCTGCCTCAGCCTTCCAAGTAGCTGGAACTACAGGTGCGTGCTACCGCGCCCGGCTGATTTTTGATTTATTGTAGAGTTGAGGTCTTGCCAAGTTGCCCAGGCGGGTCTCGAACCTGCGGGCTCAGGTTGTTTTCTTTTCTTTTGCTCCTTACCAAACCCAGCAATTCCATTCCATCCCAATCACTTTTGCAAGTGTAAAGACAAGAATGAATTCTCTAACTCCCTCAACCTAATTAAGTCCACCTTCCCCTTCAGTTTCCAACTCAAGTCCCACCTTCTCTGGGGATATTTTTCAGTCAACCAAGCCTGAACTGATCTCTGTAAAAATTTAAAAGATTCTGGCCAGGCACAGTCACGCTCATAATCCCAGCACTTTGGGAGGTGGAAACAGGAGGGTTCCTTGAGGCCAAAAGTACAAGACCAGCCTGGGCAATATAGCAAGACTCAGTATCCTCTGTCTCTACAAAAAAAAATTTTTTTTAATTACCTGGCACATGCCTGTAGTACCAGCTACTCGGGAAGCTGATGCAAGAGGATCACTTGAGCCCAGGAGTTCGAGGCTGCAGCAAGCTATGATCATGCCACTGCACTCCAACCTGGGTGACAGAATGAGACCCTGCTTTTGAAGGAAAAAAAATTTAAAAGATTCTAAAATAAGAGATGGCAACTCACCACTATCCTTTCAGACTCTCACTGCATTCAGAAAGGAAGAGAAGCGTTTGCTTGATCAGGTATCACAATGCCTAGGTTAACTTTCTTGCATGTAATATCTGGAAATCGGAGACAATAAACATACCAAATGGAACAATTAGTCCTGCACTATAAGAACTGGCTCACTAACAGGAAAAATACCTTCATACTATTCATGTTGAACCATATAAAACTATTTGTATTCAATTATATGAAATCACAGTTATTGACATATAGTAAAATTTTTAGCTGGTTTGAGACCAGGTTAAACTTAAAATTGTATTCTTATGTATATTTCCTATCTTTCCAACTAGTTGCTTAGTTCCTTAGGGGGACAGACCATCATCTAGTTATCTACATATTTCCAGTACCTGGCTCAATTCCAGGCATGCAGTAGGGGCTCAATAAATATTGGTTTTTTGATGACTATTTGAAATCATTTTCTCAAGCAGTTTTTCTGACTGTGGAATAGCTAATTC